ATTTCCACGCACCCCACTTTGCTCCAAATCCCCTTAGACCTCCCATGGACAACATGAGGGCCTCTCAGCACAACCACAGCAGTAAAGGCAGGCTCACCCCTTGCCACTACAAATGTAAGGCATATTTGAATATAAGAAGTGACAGTCTCCTCACTTTTGCTCTCCCAGGTTACAGGCTGCCTAGGGTGCAAAAGCATAGAACCACGGGGCTCCTACTGTGCCACAGCACAGACCCACAGGGCAGAAAGGGCCTCAAGAAGGTCATGAAGTCCTTCCTCCACCTCCAGGCCCAACTGCAAATAAACTATGATGACGACTGAACCCTGGAGCATTTGCAGCAGAGGAGCACGAATCACTTCAATGAAGGAGTTTCAAAGAACACTAATATAAAAGCAGATCAGCTTCCTACTTCCAGGATACTTACCTTAAAGAGAAAGGCCAAAGGCAGTCCAGTCTCCTTAGCTGGGACCAAACAAAAAAACGACACAATACAGAAAAGTTACAAAATGGGGGGCGGGGGGTAAAGTCTGACTGGTTAAGTCCACAACCAACTAGAAGCAGCTCTCAAATCACCCTGCTATGTTTTGTGGCTTTACTATGACCTTTTTCATTCTTAAAGAACTCTCTCCCTCCACCTGTCCTATGCTGCGTAAGACTGGGGCTAGGAAGGGAACCCAGCTGATTATTTTGGGAAACAGCAGAACTGATAGATACAGTGACACCAGTGGCTAAAAAAAAACCTGTACTTCCATAAAAATAATAAAAGAGCCCAACAGAACTCAAGGCTGTGTCAGGCTGGATGCTGTAACCACTAGGAGCAAGGGAGCCTCTGCTCCACAGAGCTTACACAGTCTAAACAAGACATGGAGAGGAGGTGTATTCTCTTCTGGGGTTTTGCATTATCACCCAGCACTGCAGCAGTGAAGTATCTGCCAAGCAGTGACAAATAAGATGAAGAACTGAAGCTCAGAGAGATTCTGTGACAAATCCAAGACCGCAGAAGTGGGAGTTTGGAGCTTACCTGAACAGGTACTCTGAAGACAAGCAAAAGACAGGGCAGACTGGAAACTGGTTCAGACAGGCATAAACTTTCATAGGTGAAACAGGCCGTTGCCTAAGGAAGCTTATGCCTCTTTGAACCAATCAGTCTCTAAGGTGCCACCCTGCCCTGCCTTTTGCCCGAAGAGGTGCAAAACCCCTCCTAGGCCAAGGACTGTGTCTACTGGTTAGCAGCAAGCCTGGAAGAGTAGTGGGTGCGCTCCAAACTCAATCACAATTAGTACATGACTCTCCTCTCCCACCAACCAAGTCAAAGGGCTAGTATCTGTACCGGTATACTATGCCTGAGCTCTGCTAAGTTGTCACATCTCAAGCTAGCTGCTGGCTCATTGTTATTTGATAAATGTGAAGTTCTTGGACACTGAGGAGGAAATAAAAGCATGATTAGATACCAACTGAAGCAGTCAGAGTCTAGCTGGTGGCCTGGGGTTTGCACTTGACACTCATGCGGTAATTCACAGAGCTGAAGCACTGAAACATTAAATCATGTCTCTCGTCTGCAGCAACAAGGGATCTCTGGAGCTATTGAGTCCAGCTCCCTGCTTACACAGGCTAACGCATCATAATCCTCCTCATAACTTTATCGAGCTTCAGCTAGAAGTCATTTTTTCACTCTCTCCAGGCTAACTTACAACAGGCCTGATGTTTCCTGGAAGATGCCCAAGTAAAACAAGGATCTTGCACAAACCTGCTCAGTAATACAGCCCACATGGGAGGAGAAATAGAAGATTTTGGATAATCTCAGCCAAATGCCTGCAGTGTACACTGCAACTGGCACTTAAATAGTGAGTGGGAAAAGGGGAGATTTTATCATCTAACTGAAAAAGGTTAGGGCCACTCTTGTAGGAACAAGTAAGGACAAATGTGCACCAAGAATACCTCTTGGTTAAATGCATTGACTGCTCTGAATACCTATGGCTTCCTTCCTCATAACAGAAAGAAAAGTCTGGAGAATCTACCGCCCTCAGATACTTCATAAAATCATAAAAGAGTGAGAGTTAGAAGGGACCTCAGGAGGTCACATCTAGTCCAACTCCCTGCTCAACACAGAACTGGCCCCGACTACACCATCTCAGCCAAGACTTAGTCTAGCTGGATCTCAAAAGCCTCGAAGGATGGAGAGTTTAGAACCTCATGAGATTTCTTTTGGTTCAATCCTCCAATTTGTCGAGGTCTCTCTCAATCCTAGCCCTACCCTCCAGTGCATCTACTGCTCCCCACAGCTTGGAGTCACCTGCAAACTTGCTGAGAGCGCACTCATCCCATCTTCCAGGTCATTGATGAAGACTTTGAACAAAACTGGCCTCAGGACTGACCCTTGATACCAGCTGCCAACTAGACACTGAGCCACTGAATCCAGCCAGCCTTCTATCCACCTTACAGTCCATTCATCCAGCCCGTGCTTCCTTAGCTTGCCTGCGAGAATGCTGCGGCAGACCATATCAAATGCTTTGCTAAAAATGAACATACACCACATCCACCCATCTCCCTGCACCAACCAAGCCAGTCATCTCATCATAAAGGCAATCACGTTAGTCAGGCACGACTTGCCTGTCGTGAATCCATGCTGACTGTTCCTAAACACCTTCTTCTCTGAGCGCTTAAAAATTGATTCCTTGAGGATCCGCTTCATGATCTTTCCAGGGACTGAGGTGAGGCCGACTGGTCTGTAGTTCCCTGGACCCTCCTTCTTCCCTTTCTTAAATATGGACACTATGTTTGCCCTTTTCCAATTGTTCAGGTCCTTTTCTGTTTGCCATGAGTTTTCAAAGATGACAGCTACTGGCTCTGCAATCACATCAGACAACTTCCTCAGCACCCTTGGGTGCACTGCATCCAGCCCCATGGACTTGTACACGTCCAGCGTTTCTAAATAGTCCCTAACCTGCTCTTTCACCATAGTCGGCTGCTCACTTCCTCCCCAAACTGTGCTGCCAGGTGCAGTAGTCTAGCAGCTGACCTTGTCTGTGAGGTAGAAAAATTATTGAGTACTTTGGCCTTTTCCACATCATCACTGGGCACATCTACATGTTCAATTAATGTGATACAAACTCCGGCACATATCACACCAAAGTTTATTGCTCCCAGGCATTGTGTTTACATGTGCACCTGGGACCTCAGCACGTTGAGCTGGGTCAGAGCAGCCCTGGCTTGCAGGGGACCGGGGAGGTCAGCGTGCCAGCCCAGGGCTGCTACAACCCAGCTCAACATGATGCAGAGGGGATGGCTGAGACACGAAGATGCTCCGGTGTGGGGCTAGCCAGCAGGCAGCCCCCGTGCTGAAGCACCCTCATGTCCCAGCCAGCCCAGTTCCAGTCTACACATGTGTTGAGGCAGAATACTGGACTCTGCTGCAGGATAATGCTCGTATATGCAAGTACTATGTTGCGGCAGAGTAAATTAGTTTAGTGTCACACACGCAGACACTTAAGTTTTACTGTGGAGCTTATTAGTCAGCACTGCAGTAAATGTCTCGTGTAGACGCACTCACTAGGTTGCCTCCCCCATTCAGTAAGAGACTCACACTTCCCCTGATCATCTTGTTCCTCACATCCCTGTAGAAACCTTTCTTCTGACACTTCACATCCTTTGCTAGCTGCAACTCCAGCTGCAACTGGCATTCCTGATTTCACCCATTTGCCCGAGCAATATTCTTGTACTCCTCCCTAGTCGTTTGTCCAAGTTTCCACTTCTGGAAAGCTTCCTTTTTATGTATTTATGCAGACACAGAGCAAAAATGCCCTTTGCAAACTCCAGGTCCTTAGTAGAATTACTTTACCATGGCTGACCGTGAAAGCTTGGCCAGACCTACGCATGCAATTTAAATGACCGAAGTACAATAACAGTGCACCTTGCACAAGAATGCAAGATCATGACTGGGACCATGTGAAATGAAACAATCCCAACTGATCTCATCTCCTGCTCTAATTGCAAATGTACCCAATGTCTTATTATGCAAAACCATTCATAAATAACTGCATCTCCCCCTGTGACTGTATCCTCCTGGTTGACACATCCTCCCTTGATTAAAACATATTTCTCAAAACAGGAAGAAATGTCTGTTTGGGGTTTTGTAAATGTCTCCGCAAACCATTACCGGGTTCAGAAAATTTGGGGCTCTGCCCCACTGTTCAAACAATTACCCCAAACAGCAGCAATGCCCCGAGGTGTTGCATTCAGTCAATCAAGACCCACCCCATTAGATCCAACTGTAACCTCCAGACAGATCAAAAACTTGCAAAAAACCGCTGCACAACGGGATGACCCAAAACAGGATCTGATCAGCTAGCAACTGTAATATGATGGTCCCTCCCTACCTGCTTTGTTCCGACTTCAATTGACCAACTACCAAGGAGGAATACTTTGAAGCTATACAATTCAAGAGTTGAAGAAAGAAACAGAGTTGCTAGCAAAATGGGCTTCAGAAGAGGGAGAGAAAAATCACTGCAGCACTGCAACCTGCACCCAGCTGATCGCTCTCATCCACACCAGTGGCACTCCAAAGACTGAAGCCGCTTCCTTGACTGTATTGGCGAGAGACACCATAGCAGCTAACAGATACTGGATTTTTGTGACAGCTCATTTACTGAATATTGGGAAGGAGTTGTTTCCCCACCCCTCCTGTCATTTAGTTTTATAGCTTGCTTGTGGTATAGTTATTAAAGCCTTTCTGTCATTAATCAAACAAGGGGTCGTGTCAACCCTTCAGCGCACTAGGTTTGAATCCCACTTTTTGCAACCACCACCAAAAACCAGTAGTTAAAAAAGTGGGAGTGAAAGTATAAAATAAAACAGAAGGGGAAAAAAGAAGAAGGAGAAAGCAGCGCTTGACCGAGACGCCAACCTCGTGCAGCAAAGGTTTGAATTAAACTCGATTGTGACCCAGGAAATCCTCACAACCAGGACTCGAACTCACAGGCTTCTGCTGGAGCTACCAGAAGATGAAGATCCCGGAGTGGAAGAGGACACCCTTCAACGTGGAGGCACCCGCTCGCAGAGCGAGACAGGCACGAACGCCCTCTGGAGAGATTAAAACCACGCGAGGAAAGGAGATGTCCGAGACCTACGAGGTCTGCGACGCGATCGAGGGCTTGGCCGACAGACGAAGCTGCTCCCGAACCACCTCCGTGCGGGCACGCAGCGATCCACGCCCCGTTCCCGCCTGTCCCGA